CCGTACACCACGTTCCCTCCGCCCTCCCCCCTCCTACTAGGTCGTATGGTAGGCAAGACGAGCTACGGACACCCACATCCACACCCGCACCACCATCACCATGCAGCAGAGCAAGGAGGCGGCGGTGGCGGCGGCAGTCGGGGCGGATCACCGTACCGGCATGACGTCAGCGGCGGCGGCGGCGGCGGCGCCTCCGCTGCGCTTTCCCCCCTGGAGCGTTTCCCCCCGTCGCCCCCTTCCGGCCTCCTCCACCTAGTGTCGCATACCCCTGAGGCGGCGGCTGAACTGGCTGGTGCGGTCGGGGGGGGGGGGAAAGAGGGAGGGAAGGGGCTGCAAGCTTTTCGTGCGCCAGGGAAAGAAGCTGGGCCGTTATACATTTGGCTTCGATTACAACTAGCAAAACATCTTTTTCTCAAAAGATAAAAATAATAATTCGTTTTAAAAGTTCGTCTGTTTTTGTGAAAACTAATTTACCATAATTTTTTTGACAAAATTGTATGGGGGGCCGGCGGGCGGCCCCCCCCCTCACACACATTTCCCTCAATTCCTGCTGCTGCCGTCGTCTCCCCGGGGTCTCCCCCTGCCATGCACCTGGGGCCCGGCCCTGGACCCGTTTCGATCTCTCGTCTATCCCCCAACCTGAGAGCTTCACTCCCCCCGGCCTCTTGAAAGGTTAGGGTACAAGGGGGGCATATGATTATGATGATGTTGGCGCCATTGCGCTTTTTGTGTTACGATACGATATGATATGATATGCTGACGTGGCGAAATTCCTGCAGGCCGTATGGTGGGTAAGACCAACTATCAACATCCGCATCCGCACCACCAGCAGCACCACCAGCAGCAGCAAATGGCGCCGGCCGCCGCGTCGCGCAGCCGCCAAAATCCCGTCAGTCCGACGGCGGCGCCGACGGCGGCGGCAGCAGCTTTACGGCAGTCGGCCGCGGTGGGTGGCGGCGGCGGCGGCGGCGGCGGGTCCGGCGGATCGTCCCAACGACGTCAGCTCAGCGGCGGCAAGTGGTGGTGGTGATCCTTGCGGTGGTGGGATGCCGGTGGTGGTGGCGGCGGTGGCTATGGGTGCGTGTACGACAAAACTAGTGTGCGTGTCGTACAGGGTCTTCACTCTGCGCTCCTTTTTCCACGAAGACCAATCTAGCAATTAGTGCATTTCCCCCGTTTCATGCCGTACAACGATCCGACCCGAAATGTGGCGGCGGAGGGGACCTTTCCATACCTATACGGTTCATGAGGCACGCGGTCTTCGTCTTCTTCCTGCCGTGCGTGTGTGTGTGTGTGTGTGTGTGGAGGTGATGTAACGCGCCGTCTGGAAAGAAAATTTCAATGGGTGAAATGGATCTGCGGATGCGACGGCCGAATGGATTTTCAAGTATTAAGGAATGCAGATTTGTCGTACAAGGAAGACCAGTACGACACCATGCCGTACGACACCATGCAATGTGGTGCGGTGCGGAGTACCCTTCTCCGATGCCTCCCCTGTCACCATGAA